GTAATGAAGTCAAATTAATAACATGTACATATACGTGACATCTTTTTACGAAATAAACTTCGCTATCAAAATTTGCTCGTCTCCCTCGATTATACCAAAAAAAAAAAAAAAAAAATAGGAATAAAAAAAAACATTGAAACTCCTGAGCGATCCTAGTTTAAAGTCCACAGACTGTACCTTGCAACCGTTAGTTTCCAGGCAAGTTATCTCGCGAAGAAGCAAGAAACATCACGTGGTTGTAACGAAGTAATCTCGCTTTAAGTGGCAAAAAATTCGTAACGAGATGAAATTCATGTTGGCAAACCGAGACGTTTAAACGTAGGCAGCGTAAGCAAAAATCGCGGAACAGCAGAGCTCGGCTCTCTTTTGATACGTCGGTGAAAGAAAGGAGAGTGGTCGTGGCTGGCACGGTAATTCGTTAAAGAATCCTTTAATGTCGTGTTCATTTCGCGTTTGTAATTTCCTCGGGAAAAATGTGTCGTGACCCAGCGCGCTAGTTAGCGAAGGAACGTACTTACTTTTACTTAGAAAGAAGTAAAGAGAGAGAGAGAGAGAGAGAGAGAGAGGGAAAAAAGACTCACTTGTCGAGCGCTTTCAGTTGCAGCAGCAAAGGTTGATTGTCGACCGCGTCGGAGACATCGCGACGCATCCGGTTACTATGTTGTCTCAAGGCCGCGGTATCATAGGAGGCCACCTCGTAATAGCCGATGTAAGAACTGAGCGTGATACCTGAAACAGATGGTAACCGAACATCCTTCCATTAACTGCTTTATAACTGTGAAAAACAAAAAAGAAAAAAAACGAGTATGAGAAAAGCTTCAGAAGGTTGGAGCTTAACTATAGCGAATTACGAGTACAAAAAAGATTTGTAACATATAATAAGAAATTGATATTTTGATTTATTTGATTCTTTGTTAAAATCGACGCTAAAAAAACAAAACACTTTGTTTTATTGTAGCGATTCGAAACGATATTTGAAGTACATTAAGCTGACTGAAGAGTGTATCTAACGAAGGCCATTGCGAATTATATCAAAGATAATAGAGAACAGTATAAAAACACGAAACAGGGAAGACAATAGCTCATAATTTGCTAATGAAAAGGAAAGGAGAGACAAGAAGCGGTAGAAGTTTCGCATCGCGCAAAAATTGCTAGAATGAACATGAACGCGGCGATTAGTCATTAACTCCTTTATAATTAGACTGTACATTTTTCACCAGCTCTGGGAAATTTTTTTATATCAAAGTATAGTACATACTCTTTAGATACTGATACACGATATATTTTTGAAGTTGGTGGGACAATAAAATTATATCATCGAGGTGCCACTTTCTCGGTCATATTCGACGAAATATGAATATTCATAAATATTCGCAGTCTATTTACAAGTGTCGAAAAAGAGAAAAAAAAAAATGAAAAATGAAGGGGAAAGAAGAGACGAGGGACGGTGAAATTTTGTATTGTAAAAAAAATTACAAGATAATTACAAGAATTACAAGATAATAATTAGTTTCTAAACTTAATTATCGTGTTCTATAATTGCATTGTAAAATATTGGATTGCGTGGAATGTCCCATTAACCGATCTCTCGCTTCCCAGCCTTTTAACAGAACCGACAAAGAGAAACCACTTAGGATCTTGCAAAATCCGAAACTTCAGGACCTGGACTTTCGCTATCGCGGGGGTGGGAGTACGGTGAGAATTGCGCCAGAGTCGTTTGCACGAACGAGACACTTTGGTCCGTGGGAGGAACAGAGTTCGCGTTTCTTTCTTGTCCAAGTTAATCTCGAAAATTAGCTCGTAGTCTAATAAAAGGTAAATCATTCGGTTTGATTATCCCTTTCTTTGATTCTAGAAAATGAGAGAATCTTGCGAACGAGGGTGCGAGAAACAGCGGAAGAAAATAAGTCACGTTCTTCGTCTTCTTACACGTGAATAGTTTTATACTTTGATCTCTTGTCTCTTGAATATTTGAACAAACATTTTTGTTAATAAAATATAATATAATACGATGTATAATTAAGATATCGCGGTCGAAGGTAGTTGAAAATGGAACAGTCTGTCACATTCTCGAATATAAGTTTCTTGAAAATACGTGGTAAATCTAGGAAATTTCACGAACGATCAAACAGTCGTTTTTAGTATTCAATAATAAAAATAGATATTTAATCCCACAAGAAAATTTGATATGGAATCGATTAATAAATTTCAAATATTCACGTTATTCCCCCGTCATCTTCAATACCGTTGGATAAATCTAATTCTTTATATTTTTCATATTCAAACATGTAAATGTTAAATACATCCTATAATCAATATACTAAATATACTAAATTCAATATACTTTATAATTTATTACACATTAAAACGTTCGCCGTCTTAGTCGTAGAAATATTGAAATGGAAAAACCACCGGAAGTACACTAGTCATATTTTCCTCTGAGATCTTCATTTCAGAGAAGGCACCTCTGGAAAACTCGATAGAAAATCCTCTTAAAGGATTTTACAGACACGCTAACTCGAATTCTTAACAAGTACAACAAACGAAAAAACGTTTCTTTTCCACATTTTATCCGAAACCTACATCAGGATCGCGTCATCGGGACGAGATAGAATCGAGAAAGAAATAGGGGAGCGCACTCGCCATCAGAGTGGCATTCGTCTTCGTGTTTCCATTGTTTGGTCGGTAAGTACCGGTCAAGAACAAAGGCAACAACGCGATGGTAAAGTGTTTGTCTCGTTGCCTATTAAAACGTTGCTCGCACGGAGTCGCGCAAAGAGCGTAGTTTAACAGCATCTCGTGGCGTTGTCCAGGCCACATCGTACGGCTTACAGCTTACGCAACACTCGCCAATAATCTAATTACCGTGGCTCGCTATCGATGCGTTGGCCAACGGCGAGTTGCAATGCGACCACCCTACACCGGACAGTTTGCATCGGATTTTCCATCGACAATAGGTATCTCCGTAGCCCGCAGCCAAACCTCCGCTATGCCTCTATCCTCGTTACGTTATCCGGCAAGATAGCGATTTCAGATAGAAGAAACCGAACGTGACTCTGCCTCTTTGCTACCTATTATCTCTATCGGTGGCGGTTCTGTGTAGTTACGCGAGTTGCGGACACTAGTTACGCAAAGTGTGCGGAATCCTTGCTAATAGCCTAACAGTTTGGTCCTTACAGTGATAGCGTTAATTACGATCCAGCTGTTTAAAGGTTAATTATACGCGTTACTTATACCCGGTAAACAGCTGTGAAAACGGGCAAAGGGACGTGGCTGGTCATTCGATTGTATGTCGTACACGATGCTAGTGATGGGCTTAAGTACGGCACGAGTAGGTTTGAAAATTAACCAACTAGATTCGAACTCTTCGTACGGTGGCGGACGAACGAAATATAAGAAAGAAATAATTTTACGAAACATTTTTCCTTTCTATAGAAACGGCTGAGTTAAGCGGTTTGAAGTATATTTGTCCGATGTTCTTAGGAGGATTGAAATTACGCGTTTTCAACCAGATTCGAGAAGTTTCTATAGATTCTACGAACCGTCGACTATATGTTAAAGACAAATATGGAGCTTGATTGACGCAGGTATATTCCTTGTTTCAGTTTCGATTTACCAAAACGTTTGACCGCAGTTACGGCAAGTAGCAAAGAGTCAACGGCAGAGAAACGTTCTTTCGTCGTAATGTCGAGGAAATGATAAAAACATCGATGTTTGATTTGCATTGCACCAGGTGTACAAATATTTGTGCAGGGTAGTGTACACATTGAACTTGATCCCATCGCTACACGCTACCGCTGTTCGTCACAGAGCGTTAATGAACTGGGAAATTAACAGATAGACCCTATGAATAAACAGAGAGTTCGATGGAAGGCACTAGCCGGAATCGAACGTGACTCACCTCTGTGTGGTGGCACAGGATGAAGAGGCGAGGCAACGGCGACGATTAGAAGGCAACCGAACACCAAGAAGAAAATCAAGGGCGTCCCGATTCCAGGATGACGACGACGTTCCTTCGACCCGAAGGGATACATCGTGGCCCTCTGGGCCCCGTTGTGCCCTCCTCTAACCTCGTCCTCCTCTTCTTCCTCCTCCTCTTCCCCTTCTTCGTCAACGGCCAGGGCCGTAGCGCGCATCGGCTCGACGTTCTCCGGCCCAGCAATAACTAATGGCGCTATCTGCCTTTCGTCGAACAACCGACCACCGCACTTTGCGAGTCACCCACCAGACTCATCTCTCTTCCTCTCTCGACCTCTGTCTTCCTCCTACTTTCGATTTTCCTTCTCCTCCTCCTCTTCCTCCTCTTCCACCGAACGTGCTTCCGCCACGTCCTCTTTCTCTTCTTTCTCCTCCGCGGGTCGCTCAACCTTTCGACCCTCCTCCCACGCTTTCAGCCTTTTTCCCCCGACTCCTGCTACCTTCGTCGATCGGCAGCTCTTCTTCGTCCTCACG